GTACATTGGTGGCAGCGGATGCGTTCGAATAACGCAAATCGAACCCCAGCTCTTTCTCTTCTATGGTCAACAGAGGCAAAGACCCTTGAATGCCAGCTGAAATTGTCATGGCGGTCATCCGATGTCCAAAACAAATGGATCCATAGACATTGCCAGGGATTCGGACTACTGCATCTGAAGAGGCATTGGCAACTTAGCGACGACGACTTGGACAGTGAAAGCCAGGTGGACTGCAACTGCGAATGGACCTGCGATGGATGATGAGTCCTTCCTGCAAGTCTACAAGAGCACGGTCCCTCGTCAACTGATTGCATGGGCCACAATCCTGCCAGATGTGGGGTGCAGGAAGTGTCGAACTGGATATTGTACCACTCATGAACAGTGCAGTGAACCAAGCCAGAAGCTGAGGACATCTTCACTCCTGATGATTGCTGTATTAATTTAGACTATGAATCTAGAATTTTGTGTTAAAACTCTGCTAACATAAAATGCTGGTTCCTGGCTAAAAATGACTTTTCAAATAGATTAAAATTTGACCTGTTCTCTATAAACACGCCAGTGCAAATATGCAATTCAAATTAATGCAGAGGCAATCGGAAAAATGCAGATAGGTGTAGATCCCTTTTGTAGCAATGCTGGATTACATTCGGCCAAAATGAAAACTTAGATGACGTACAATTCTTAGTTATGTGTTTGGTTAATCAATAATTTCAAAATTAATCTCAACAAATTGAATGATGCCTGAATTAAAACAAGTTAGGCTAAAAAATGTATCGTAAAACATCCACAAAATCCATCACCGTACATCCTAGAAATTAAGATATTAATCATAATTTTGGTTTGTTCCTTAATCTGGGCATAAATCTTCGTTTGCTGGAATTCTTAGTGTTTTCTTGTTCAGATTGGTTTGATTTAGTGTTGTGCATCGGTCTGTCAGCATAATGTGGCAGAAGCTGGTTCCTGAATGCGGTACGGACATGAGAAGAATTGCAGTCACTTGGCGAGATGAATACTGAATTAAAACCCCACAGAATCCATAGTGGAAGGCGAAGTCAGTGCCAATCATCTATCGACCACCTACTAATATCCTGAATGTTCTATGAAGATGCCTTCTCAATGCAATGACAGAATTTTACAATTTCGTTTGTAGTGAAAAAGGTTAAAAACGTTGATATTCGCATGTCCATAAAAGGCGATATCTCAATACAGTCAAAAATGTCTGCTGCATGCGACGCTGATGCCGCACAAGTGCACATCACTCAGCATTGCTTCAACTGATTCTGTGCAGTGATGCCTGACGTCTTACATTACTTTGAGCTGAACATCTGAAAATAAGGTGTTGGTTGTAAGTTTGAGCACGACCGATTGCACGTTTATAAACCCTTTCAAGACGGCCCTCTGATTGGTTTGAACGATAAATCATTTGTCTAAATGAACCCAATACATTATTAAATCGAATTAAGCTATCGGAGTTCACGGAGAACAGTGACACTATTAAAAGAAAATTTATTCCATGCCTTTGTTTGCTTTTTATTGAATTAAATAAGTTTTACCGGTTTTTCCTACTGCAAAACATAATTACAGCAAATGTGACGTTCGATGTCTCCAAACTCTATCTTAAACGTGTGTAGCTTTCAGTAAGCATTCGTGCGTCGTAATGTGTGCTTGTTTGTGTTTTATATGACTACTCAAATATGAGTAATCTTCTTAGCCCATCCCACCTTAAATCGAACTCGAGATTATACCCACTCATGAGGTCTCACAAATGAATTCAATTTCAAGCACGAACAAGTAGATTAAAGCATTTGCAACAGGGTAAATGTTCAGTTAACTTCCTCAGCGTCCCAGGAAATCACATCTTTTGTTAAACGCTGACAAATACGTCGGCAGGTCCACTCATCTTCGAAGCGATTGTAATTGCCACCACAGCCACCGTAGGGGAATTGAATGCACCTGCCTGATTGCCGGTCGTAACCCCACTTGGGCAAATAAGCGTAGCATCGTCCTGTGTCGATTGGCAGCGTGCAAGGATTAACCGTGACTAAAAAAATACATCAAACAAGCGATTAGAATTTCTACAAAAGAATGTGTAAATTCACCACTTGATACTTGTCTGGCATTCAATATCCTAAGACGAAATTTGTATTTTTTTTTTAATTAGCAGTCATGCTTGTACCAGTAAGATTTGATTTCAAATTGATCGTCCCCTTCCTATAGGTCTATTCGGCTTTTTAATGTGTGCCATTAATTTGAATTGCCGCCACACTACACTGATGTAGGTGCACCAGACGCGTAGTTGGCCATTGTTTCAGACACTGAAATGCCCTCTGTTCGAGGTCATTTTCTATCCTTGCTTGCGGAGCCACTGACTTATTCGTGGTTTGTCTGGATGCTGGTAGATGCGACGTCTTTGACGGACAAGACAACTGGGTGTGATTCCTTGCGATTGAGGCCTTGCATTTGTGTACCAGTAAATCGTAACGCTAGCACACATCATGCGCAGTTTTCCTCAACTAAATCTTGGGGAGTGTCACTTAGCAAAACAACGTCTTGCCGCACAGGCTAACATATTCACTTTAATTATTTCATGGTTTAATTCTCAACATTGAACTTGCGTAAGCAGGATTTGGGGCCTCATATAGCTACAAGTGTAGAATCAGGCAAATGTGAAGTTAAGACGATAGCAATTCCCAGATTTGTTATCTAAGCAGATGACCAAGGCCGTTTATGGGGGAATGGTTCCATTGGACAAAAATATTGTGATGTTCAGAAGTCAAAATTACTAAATAAAAGTATATATCGATAGCCTTAAATAACAACATGTAAGGCTGACATAACTCAGTCCACGTACCTCCCGAGACACAGACGGCAACCAAAGCGAGAAAGATGAGTACTGTGTTCATTTTCATCGACTTCCTTTCCAGCTGTCCTGCACACCCGTGCAAACGCTTTTATACACTTCGCCATCAGCCAATTTGTCCAGAAGTCACCGGAAGTAGTCATGTTGCTCGCAATCAGGGGGTGAGATTAGCGTCTGAGCGCACTGTGTTCAAATCGAAAGAGCATCAGTGTGGTGTCAGCCATCTTTTCTCCACGCCGCACCCCCATCGTCGTATTCTGCGAGCATTTACAATTGAGCAGTAAATTACAATGGCAGCGGTAATCATCGGAGCGCAGCTTAGCACATAATTGCTCTTACAAGTCTGATCGGCTACAATAAATACGCATTTCTGTCTGTTTAACACACTTTCTTTTACAATGCATTACAATATCGGTACTCGTTTTCGTAGACAGGAGGTGACTGAATGTGTAAGTACGACAGGCTGAGGTGATTTTACTAATCACTTACACATGTCAGTTACGCACACGTACACGTTTAGACACAAGAGGATCTCTGTACCTGCAAGCACATTTAAAGCAAAGTTACCAAGGGCCCAGTCACTGTTCCAGCATTCTCAGTTGTCTCAATTACTCACTGGCAATGTTGGTGGCTGATGAGATGTGAAGTTGTGATGTTGTAAGTGTAAGTAGAATGTCTCAGCGGTACGCAAAGCTGATAAGAAAAATGAAACAGGGTAAAACATCGCAAAAAACCACTACTTCCGAAACGTGTTGCTGCTGCTGCTGCACATCTTCACTACTACTGTCAACGACGCAAATAAAGCTAATTGCCGTAATCATTCATTCCCATCTTTGACCCTAACACATTGCCCTCACACCGGACAACAAAAAATCGCTAGGCTCATTCGTGATGTCTGCTTTTTTGTGTGTGGAAAAGACTCGAGTGTAGCCGAATGTACCTGATCTGGAAAGTACTCTTTTGGGGCACACTTTGTCGGTCAACGTCCAGTCTCCACTTATACTAGTTTCGCCGACCCATTAATCGCGGCAAATCTTAACCCAGTAATGTGTGGCGCTTGGAAGGCATTAACCAAGCACATTCAGAAGAAGGCGACGCATACGTCAGCCCTTTGTGGTCTGCCAGAATATTTGCTGATCAGCTGACGAAACTCCTTTACACTGTGGGTAGTTGCATCTACTTTTTGACTCCCGAGGGGAAGAGTATCATCGTAAAGCTAAACGCGAATATCACCAAAGTTGTCCTTTTCAGTTCTCAGATATGTTAAATGTGACGCGTCGACTGATAGCTCAGGATTCATCAAAATCCATAATAAATACACAATGAAGTTGGTACGAATTCTCTCCAACGATCTACGCCTACGTGCTTAACTTAGTGTCGTTTGTGGAGCACGTCACCATTGTTATTTGCAGGCACATTTGCATTGTGAAGGAACTAATAAAACTGGGTGTAACGTTAGGAGCTCCAAGCATCACCCACGATGTCGCCCTCCAAAAACAACTGGTATCTCAGATGCAACTACAAAATTTGATATCCTCCACAAGGGCAAATTTCCCATGGATATCCATTCACTCTCCAGTGCATGTGGTACGCTTTAACTCAAGTAATTATCATAACAAGGGTTCAAGGGATTCTCAGCACAATTCTCTGGTACATAAGTGCACATCGTTGGATTTACCTAACCACATCTAGGTGTACGATGTGTTGCCTGATAAGTTGAGTCAAGAGCGTTAACAGATTTCCCTTATCTCATCGGTGCATAGCGATGCCTCTGTAGTTTCGCAAAGCAGGCATCAGGCTCTGAGACCATGCCACCGATTTTGCGCATTCGCTTATTCATCTGCACGTTGCCACCTACACACCACTCTCCTTCTCTTAATTCCCAAATACACCACTCAGAGATCTTTCCTATCTGAAACATTTAGGCATCTCAATCATTGGCACCTTTGTGACTTGGCATTTCTTGTACATGTGAACTTAACGAAAAAACGCGTTTTTCTAATGTTATAAATCAGAACGGAAATTTATTAACATGCACACAAATAACAATAAATAAGCGTCTAAAGTGGAACACCAAAAGAGCTTGAATTAATCTCTTCATCGCAACGTTAGCCAAGGTAGAACAGACAAGGCGAGATGATCACGGCTAAACTTGCTTGAACAAGCCAATGAGTGTCTTCAGCAGTGTAGCGTGTGTCCCATTCATCAATACATGGTCGTCAGTCAATATGGCCAACTGATTAACTGCGTAACATTGTTCTCCATACGTCTTAATCTTCTTGGATTTCTCTCAATCTACTTTTCATTAAAATGTGCTAATGTTCAATTATCGAAATCTGAATCACAATAGATAAGTTCAGTGTTATTTCTTCATTTTGTTTATAACAACCTCAGAAACACAACTCAACTCCACTCGTTCTTGAGTACACAGCTCCGGTCTAGTCGCTGATAGCTCGACTGGCTATTCGCAGCCTTTATGTCCTTGTAAATTTTGGCCAAATTGTTACAGATCAGATTGACTTTCAAAGACGACGTGTTGGTGTGACAAAAGAATCAAGTGATGCTATTGAGGGCCCCAAAGGGTATTTTTACAACCACACCGAGGCCACTGCATTGAATGTGTCCTAAGATGATTAAGCGAACCGGAGATTGCTGCATGCTAAGTTGTGCTAACTGCACCACTGAGCACAAAACTGTAGAGTCTAAATAATACGGGGTTGCTGACCAGTGCAGTCTGGACGAGGTGGTACTAGAGCAGATGGTTGAACGGTAAGATGAGTGAAATGAGTGGCGTGGGGGTGGTGCACAAACAGGAATAAATGAGAATACGATTAGGCAAAGTCGAAGGGACACGGTGAAACGGAGGTTAGTATGGTGGTGAATGCAACGACTGCGTTGCGGGACGTCAATAAGCCCGATTCACAACAACGGAATCTGTTGTGTGTGCGTACTTGTTGTATGTACCTGATATCGTGTCGGGCATCGGCCTTTCATGATCACGCCATAGGAACAGATGCCAGCATGTGGTTCAGCCCAGTGAGCAGTTGCAGGCACTTGAAGCGATGGTCCTTCAAATCTGCTAGCTGGCTCGGAAGTCAACTGGAACAACTTGGAGGTCCAGGCGGACAGCGATGTCGGTGTCTAACGTCTACCGATCAAACACTAATATCCAGAAGGCACTATGAGCATTACCTGGCAAGACAGAGTCATATTATTGCGAATTTTGTCGTAGGCGATGACAGTAGAAATCGCCAACACTCATAAAGATCTTGAATATGTTAAGTCCGATGCGACAGACACAGTGGTCGCAGAAATTCACATGAGGAAAAATGACTTTGATTGATTCCGTGCAACTATGTCTAACGCTCTAAAATACAACGGTCTCACCAAAAAATACTGTGACATCTCCAAAATAGACTTAGTCTCGCTAGTGGATTTTATTATAAATCCGATATATTTATGACCTAACACAAGATCATGTCAAAACAAGCAACGAAGCCTTCGCGAAGTGCCAAAATTTTAAGGCTGGTGAAGGGGAATAAATGAGAGTAGCTGCTAACTCAGTTGGTAGCGTTGCGTTTAGAAGGGATTAAATATAACCATAACTTTTGTAATCCGTGACCATGGACAGCGGCGACACCTGTGGACGTAAATTCATTCCATGTGCTGCGTTGTTTTATCCGACCTACACGTGTCTTACAGGGCTTGTATACTGCTGATGCATTATTACAATCGAGGCTTTCTCGATCTTGCTGGGAAAGTGACTGAGCACGGGTAAGGCAATGCACACGATGACCCCAACACCTGTCTTAAACGTGTCTATGGCAATCAGCGAGTGCCTGGGTGTGCGTGTGTCGCAATACATGTTTGTTTGTGTTTGTGTGTGCTAGTGCTATGTCTAGCAAAGCATTCCACATACTTTATTCACCACGTTCAAGCACATCGCTCGTGAAGTTGTTTGACTCATTAACTCTTCCCAACTGAAACATATTTCAAAACACGAGGAAATAGATTAAATCAGTTGTTACAGGGCAAGTAATCGGTTAATTTGCATCGAGTCTGATTAATTCCACCTTCCTCTCAAACGGTGACAGGCATGCTGGCAGGATCTCTCATCGTCGAAACGATTTTCATTTCCACCACAACCGCCGTAGATGAATTCAGTGCAGGTGCCTGTGCCCTGATCGAAACCCCACTTCGGGAAGTAGGCAAGACAAAGTCCTGGATCAATTGGTTGCTTGCAGCGATCATTCACAGCTAAATGGGAAAAAATCAATACAGTTGATTAACATGTGGATTTAATAAGGTGTAAATTAGCAATTTGCTTCCTGCTGGGCAAATCTGCATAGCCAAATCCATATTTCTATTTTTCACTATGAACGCCAATTAATATTTTCAAATCGGTCATCCTCTTCCTATTGGCCGATTTGGCTTGAAGTGTGCGGTTAATCCAAAATGCATCTAGTGTATGCCGCCAACGCGAATTTTTAAATTCATGCATTCAAACGCGTGGTTAACCTTTGTTCAAGACACTAAAACGCTCTCTGTCCGAGGACATGTTGTGGCCCAGTTTGGGTGGCTGCTGCGTCATCCGTGTTTTATCTGGCAGCTGGTAAATGTGAGGTCAATGAGGGGCTAAGCAAACGTTCACGAATATTCGTGCTTAAGGAAATAACACTACCACATATCACTAGCTATTTTTGCCAAATAAATTTTGAAGAGCGTCATTTCACAAAACACCAGGATATGCAGAACAACGTCTTGCCACACAGATTAACATATTCACTCTATTTCATGGACTGATTCTCAACACTGAATTACGTAACTAGAATTTGAGCCCCCATTTGTTGAAAAATAAATAATCATCATTTAAAATAGCTGCTTTTGAGAAAAAAACCTTATGATTTTAAGAAAACGAGACTGCTAACGAATAATACGAATCACTAGAATATAAAACCACATACCTCCAGAAACACCGACGGCTACCACAGCGAGGAAGACAAGAATCACGTTCATTTTCGTTGGCGTTCTTTCCAATTGACCTGCCTACTCCTGCCAACTCTCTTATACCTTTCGCCATCAGCCAAATTGTCGAAAAGTCACCG